ATCAGTGAGAGAACTCCTGCTGAGCTCAGCTGAGGAAAACGAGCTCATGACACCATCCCAGCAGCGTAGATCTACCTCTTCATAGTTGTCATGCTATGGTCACTCACGGTGAGCAATCCTGAGCACGGCTCGAAACCGGGCGAAGAAGACGATGACGTTAGTCTGACTCAGAGGATTTCAACATTGTCTTCCCGAGCTCGCTAACCCACTGTTTTTTCTTGCATCCAATTGCAACTGCATCGTCACGTTGTTTAACACATACATCACCGTTATAATGGTCTCCGCCATGGCCTACAGTGTGGGAAGATAGGCACATTGTCAACAACAACAACAACAACAACAACAACAACAACAACAACAACAACAACAACGACAACAACAACAACAACAACAACAACAACAACAACAACAACAACAACAACAACAACAACAACAACAACGACAACAACAACAACAACAACAACAACAACAACAACAACAGCAACAACAACAACAACAACAACAACAACAACAACAACAACAACAACAATGGAGTTTCACCCGTGATGTGAAAAATACTAGTGAAAAACATACTTCACGACTACTGCATAGTGCGAATATCGCGTTTTTCACCGAGTTTTACGCTACTTCGCGTAAAACTGGTAAAACTCCAATAATGATAGCAAGAACAGCAACAACAATAGCAACAACAGCAGCAATAGCAACAACAACAACAAAAGCTACTCAACGTTGCAATATTGACGGTATGTAGTATCCATATCAGCATCAGAAACACACTCCAAGGATCCTTCCGAGGCCTCGGATACTTATGCTGATATTAAGCAGTATGAGAAAATACGCCCATAGTGAACAACATGTTGGTGACGATGTGAAAACTGCGAGAAATTTCGTAAAAATTCGTTCTTTTTCCTGAGCATTCCCATACTAATTCGTCTACAAACTGCTGCAATTCACGAGAAAACTCCCCAACTCAGCTGAGCAGACCAACATATATTCCTCCAGCTCACATGCGTAGTCTTTTTCCACTTGGCAAAAAGCCGAGCACCCGTCTCCACTTATCAAATTTCCATCATCGCAACCCTCTCCAAAATGTCTTCTCCCATCACCACATTCTCTCAAGGCAATTTCAAAACCCCAACCAGTAGTAACTTCACCAATCGTGTCTCCATCGATTCGCAGTAAAACGCTGGAATGAATAACCCGAGGATATCGCCCGGACAAAACCGTTCGCGAGATGTGTTCAAATACATGCATGTCGTCGCGCGCGGGTCGCTCAAGTTACTATTGCTTCCTTCACTGTCTCAGCTAGAGCCACTATAAATGTAGTCGTATATCGGATGAA